ACAGGGAGCATACTGTACAAAAACTCCCTCAACTAAAAGAGCTATTTGGGAGAATTTTTTTATCCAAAATTTTGGAATCTCCTTATATATAACCTGATGAATATTTTTAATGGAAAAAAAAAAAAAAAAGGAGTTTGAGTAATCGAAGCGCCTCGATTTTGCCTTAAAAAATTGGACAAATTCTAGTGATGTTATTTTTGTAGGCACAATTTTTTTTTTCGTTAAAGATGATTATTGGATTCAAGACGTTATATCCCAAAATTTGTGAGTCTAAAAACTATTTCGATCTTGAGTTCAACCCGAGGAGCAAATGCACAATATGCTCCTACAGGAGGAACAAATATTTCGGGGTTGGCAAATCGCCATTCAATCACACGAAATGTTTTGGTAAGACTTACATTTCCTAAGGTTACCATCGCTTGAGATTTGTAACAATGTCCTCATTGGGACCATTGATAGGACCACTGAACGGTTTGGTCCGCCACAAAACAACAAAAACACATGTAATTGTGTAAATTTTTTAAATGGAAAAAGTTTATATTAGGTTGCGACCTTAAATTGTAGAATCAAAGGTGCACCTCAAAAAATCCATCATAAAAGGTTATTTGGATGTTGGAAAACCCTCTAATTGACCATCTCGACATCGAGATATATGAATATGAAAAGAAAAAACGATTTCGAGTCCGCAAAATAGTGAATCTTATAATATATTATTTGAACTGTCAATTTTCAAGATTTTCATGTATTTATAGATCTACTTGATTTTAATCATTTTTAGAGTTCAGATTTTATAATTAGATATGAAAATAGATACTCAAGCCATCCTAATAATTTTTTATATCAAAATTACATTTATGAAAAAATTTAGAAGTGTGCCTTAATGGGTTTTGTTTAATATTGAAACCTTATGCAAACCACATCCTTTTAAAACTATAGAAAAGATAGTGGGCATATCCATTAAGGGGAAAGAGAGGATGAAAAACCATCGCCCAAAGGTGCTCGTTGAGCCGGTCACCGGTGGCTAAGAACCTTTCCGCGCTTGTTATCAAAACAGCCAACTTTATTTTCTTGAAAGTCATCGGTTCAAATTTTCTTTCTTTTTTTTTCATCCCAAAAGAATTTTCTAAAAGAATGCTCATTTGCATTCGGAATTCCCATTGCCCATTCCCGCGTCAAGCAATTGCGAAAGTGTTTCATGCCCGATCCTATCTACCCTATGCTAACTGAGACACTTTAGTTACTTTATGGTTTTGACTGGTTTTCATAAGTTCAACATGTTTCATGGCAATTAAAACTATTTATAATCGCTCAATTTGAATTAGGGTTTATAAAAATATTGATTCTAGTCCGGATCTGAATTGGTAGGGGCACAATCTAGTGTTTGGGAGCTTTGGAATCATGTGATTTACATTGGTTTTTATTTTTTATTAAGAAGTAGACTTAGGTAGGTTGGTCATGTGTGGCGTAACTTCAGTACAACACCTGTTAGGAAGTGCGAGTTAGTTCAAGTGGTAGGTTAAAAACGGGCCAAGAGTAGGCCTAAAATGACATGGTTGGAAGTATTGATAAAAGATATGATGACTTATGGCTTCATTGAGAGTGTGACATTTAATAAAGCGTAATGGTAGGTCAGGGTTCATGTAATATACCTCAAATAGTTGAAAAAAAGATCTGACGATGACAATGATTTTCTTATTTAAGCTTTCATTGTCAATCAACCTCGTGGAATCGGTTGATCTGGATCATAATCGTTGAACCTGATCTATCCATTGTTTTAAGCTCTGCTTAGAATGCAGTATTATGTAGGTAGCGCAACGTGTATGTGTTGCTTATAACGTTAACCGTCTCACAACTAATGATGGACGGCTCATATAAACATTCAGCCAAGGGAAGGGTTCACCTCCCATGTAAATGGCGAGTGGGGTTTATATAAGGCTGAGGCTTTAAACAATCAAAGTAAGGCGCACCTTCAAATGGGGTTGAAAGATGTTGCTTTAGTATTGAAAATCTTTGTGATGGTCTGAAAATTTTTTTTTATCCGTAATTATAAAATTTGAAGCTTCAAAATTTGTGTAAATCATGAATATCTACAAACACTTGATAATTGACGGTTTAGAAAATGCATTACAAGATGCATTATTTCCTCGACTTAAATATATTTTTTCTCATATCCATGCATCTTGAGGTTGAGATTATCATTTGAGGATTTATGGGCATTGAAACAACCTCTTCTAGTGAATTTTAGATGTGCGCCTTAATTTGATTGTTAAGAGCCTCACCGTTAAATAAACTTTTTTCTTTAACCAATCATCCACTGTTCAGAGCTAAAATGGCTAAGTAGCAAAATTGAATCGACAAACTCGGCCATTAAAAAAAAAAAGGAAAAATTGGACAAAAAATATATGTATTAAATCAAATAGTGAAAACCAAATACTTTATCTCACATAGTAGGAGCTACAAATCAATATCAAATAAAAAATTAACATAAAAAAAAAAACACTATGGGAAGAAAATGACAGAAAAAATGATAGGAAAAAACCAAAACTCAACCTTACAGATTTATTTAAAAAAGTTAGATCGTGTTCTAGATCAATGTATTAGAAACATGTTGGGGCAATTTTAACTAATCCGGTTAAAAATGAGAGACGAATCAAGGACTTTTGATATTTGATTCAAATACATCCAAAATTACAAATTTTGATTTCTTCTCTTTTTCTTTTTAATCAAACAAATTGTTTTGGGATCTCTTAGAGAGCTTCAAATTTGTCGAGCCAACTTGAAATCGCTTGAGTCGGCTTGAGAATGGAAGCCTAACGATTTTGTAAGGAATTACCGCAAAAATGAGATGAGCCTCCTGTGCCTATGGTCCCTACTATTATTTTTCCAAAAAAAAATTTTGATTCCCATTTTTTCTTGCAGAATTGTGATTCTCTTCATTTCATTTTGTGCATCTAACTTTTTCTCTTTTTTTTTTACTAACACTGCCATAAACCATTTTGTATGTTATACATTCCCCCATATGGGTGTCACTAATTGTTTAATCCCCACTTTTTCTTGCTTCATTTGTGGTTTTTTCTTCATTTCATTTTGCTCCTCGACTCTCTTTTACTAGGCTCACTAAGGTAGATTTTAGGAAGTGACCTCTACGCCCTGTTTGGATAGTCCGATATATTTATGAAAGAATGTCAATGATTTTGAATTAAGGCCGTTCTAATTTTCTTTAAAACAGGTAGAGAGCATTTTTGGGCCTTTTCATAAAGGGGGTGAAAAATGTGATTATTTGTTAATAAATGGCAGCGCCAAACATGGTTTAATTATCATTATTTATTCATTTGAGTTTTGATAAGTAGGTCTTTTGCTTGAGGGAGTAAGTGTAATAGTAGTTAATTGTATGCGTGCAATAAATAATGTAAGGTACATGGGATGCATGTAAGGAAAATTTGTTGCTTTGCACAAATATGTATATGCATGTGCACACGTGTAAAAGAGGCGTTCTGTCACAACAATAGATAATAACGTGTATAATGTTCTCTCATCAGAGAATATTATATACTTACTCCATTTGAGTTTTGATAAGTAGGTCTTTTGCTCGAGGGAGTAAGTGTAATAGTAGTTAATTGTATGCGTGCAATAAATAATGTAAGGTACATTGGATGCATGTAAGGAAAATTTGTTGCTTTGCACAAATATGTATATGCATGTGCACACGTGTAAAAGAGGCGTTCTATCACAACAATAGATAATAACGTGTATAATGTTCTCTCATCAGAGAACATTATATACTTACTCCATTTGGCAAAATACTTATAGGGGGGGATTTTTTTCAATTTGGAAATTCGTGGCAAGTATTTTCCAAACAATTACTCAACATTAAATTTGACAGTTAAAGTTTGAACTTTCATATTAACCTTAGGACCTTTTCCAAGCACATGTAAAATTTATGAATTCTTTTCTTGAAGTTGTCAGGTTGAAGAGGCTACATCCGCAAAATTTAAATACCTAAAAATATTTATAAATAGGGTTATACCAAAATAAGTGATTGTAGGATAAGCTCCAAGCTTGTAATATTTGGCTTATTTATTTAAGAAAAAATAAATAATGAAACCATTTACTTTTTGTACAAGGTGGTCACAAATTTATCATGTGAAATTGGGTGGTTGCATTTATTCAAATGGCCAAACTCAATATTCAAAAGAAAATTTCTCAAACTTCGTGACACACCCAAACTAGTAGATTTCACATAAGGTAAATAGTCTAATTGTATACAATCCCTTTATTTAATTGTTTATTTGGCCTTTATCTCAATTCGATACGGAACCTTGGCTAACCTATGGACGATCCTTAATCAAGATGCATAAGAAAGCCATTTTACACCGTCTGTTTTCTATTTGAATTTCAATTTAATCCACAAAAGTTGCATGTCCAAGCCAAACTCAAGCCATCCTAGCCTTAACTTGACATTTCCAAGCCAATTTTATTATATTTATGTGGCAAGGCATTGTGTAAAGGACAAGGTTTCTATGTGTTGTAGCACTCACATGCAAATACGCGGTCCCTCTTTTTTATCCAATGTCTAGATGGATTTTGGACTTACTTTTTTAGATATATGTAATCTCCATCATGGAGACCATTAACATATAAAAAATAAAAACTTTTAAAATCCAAAAAAAAAATTTATTGTGATAAAATATTTGAACCGGTAGATTTTGTTCTTTCAAGAGGGATCACAACTTCATATCTATCTTAAAGATGGATATTTGATACATCGGGGGAGACAATGCATATGCTACTTTTTATTTTCAAAATTTCAGTTTTTACAATCTTCGCACAGTCATTTATCTATGGTACAAGAAAGTCACAATTACCATTTATTGTACGGTATGAAATTCAGCAGCTAATGGTGTGTCATTGGTTGCACTTTAAACTTTTTTCTCAAATTATAAGTAAAAAATAGTACATTTCTAACCGTTGATTTCATTGTGACATTCTTATACCAAAGATAAACAAACTCCTAACACACACGATCCCATTGCTTAGTTAAAACAACAATTCAAAACTTGCTTGAACTCCATATTTGCATTTCCCAATTGCATACATAAGTACATACATACCTACATGCATACGCACTCATGCATTCAAAGGTCCCAAGAATTCTTGATCTTCTCATAGAAAAGTTTAGAGAAACAATAAAAACATCACATTTTCATCCCCAACCTCATTTGCGGCAAATACGAGCAGTCGGCATGGTGACACAGACAGGTGCATAGTATTTCTTGGCCTCCGGTGTCCCTCGCTTGAAGTCACCCTCAGCTGCGAGAGCCACCTGTTGCAGTGGAGCCATGGCTGAGCACATTGCAGTGGCAGCCAAGGCCAGCATCACTGACCTTCTTTGGCTCGTGTTGCTTTCGCTCTCTTCCGCCATTGATGCCTTTATCACAGGCATGCTTCCATGACTTGGGTTCACTCTCTTAGGAGAAACACCGGAGAGTTTCAAGGTCCCAATGCTTGAGCCAAGAGTTGAGAGAGTGAGAGAAGCCATTTGAGCTTGGTGTGAAGAGTGCTTTTAGAGAGAGAGAGAGAGAATGGGTTTGGTTTTTGTTTTGGAGAGAGAGAGAGAGAGAGAGATGAGGTTGCAGATATATTGGGAGGTGATTGTAGGGTTCTCAAAGTTAGTGGACATTGTTGGATGAGTTATCCTTCATAGGCCAATGGGATGATTACAAGTGTCATGTTATCTTGTGAGAAGGTAGTTTTGCCTTTTGGATTGGACCACGTGGAGGGATCTGGACCGTTGAAATCTGAGTGATTTGCATTTGTAATTCACACTTGATGGTTAAAGTCTCTCTCTCTCTCTCTATTATGCCCTCCAATCCCATAAAAGGGCCACACTAAAATTCTCCCTTTCCAATGAGGCATTCCAATTCTATAAGGGATGGGAAAGCTCCCCCACAGCATCTTCCCTCATCTTTTTAACCATTGATCTGAAATGGGTGGCTGAGATTAGAAGATGATATATATCATAAAATAGAGTAATAGATTTGGCCAATAACCCATCAAAATAACCCATAGAACATATAGATAAAAAGTAACCAATTTCAAATAGCCCATAGAAAATAGATAAAAGACTAACCCATTTCTCATATTGAAAAGCTTTTTATGTTTCGCCTATAACATAGAAGTTCTATCCTCCCCCCGAGATGTATAGGAGAAGTGAAAGATATGTGAAAGATTAAATGGTATGTGAAAGATTAAAATAAATAGTCCAAAATGCTATGTGAAAGATTAAAAATAAATAGTACGTGAAAGATTAAAATAAATGGTCCAAAATGCTTGTTACAAGGTAGATCATTAATTTAGGAGTGAAGTCCCCCTTTTTCTTTTCCTAATCCATCATTTTAAAGGATAAAATACAACTAATCCTAATTGCCGGCCAACTAGGAAAATGAACAAATGATCATATTTTGTATGGAGAATATTTTATTAAGAGAAATTTATCAAAATACATCTAACTTTTCAACAATTTATTAGTTTTACCTCTTTAAACTCTTCCAAATCATGGATATGTGTATATTCATGGGTATTTAAATTGGAAAAAGTTTGCATGAGGTTAGCAATGTTTAAATGTAGAATTAAAGATGCACCTAAAAAATTCATCGGAAAATGTTGTTTTTTTATTGATTATCTCGACATCAAGATTATGCTTATGAAAAAAAAGAAAAAGATTTTGAGTCTCATAAATAGTGCATGTTGCAACATATTATCTAGACCGTCCATTTTCAAGATTTTTATATATTTATAGATCTACTTGATTTAACCATTTTTAGAGTTTTAAATTCTGTAATTAGATATGAAAAATAGATTTTCAGATAATTCTACGAATTTTTACACCAATATTACATATTATGATAAAACTTGGAGGTGCGTCTTCATTGGATTGTTTAAGGTTACAACGTTATAGAAACCACACCCATCTGAATTTAAAGCAAAATATATTGGTGAAATCTTCAATTATTGTTATTTTGAGAAATTTTTCTTGATTTAATAAATCTTTGACTAGAGAATATTTTCTTAATCTACTCATAAGATTTTTTATTATTCTTTTTTGGGCTGATTTAGAAGGAGAAATCTTTTCGTGTATGTTAGTGGAATTCTAGTGGAATTCAAGGAGCTCAATTTTTAGAAGGTAAATCGCAGTTTTTTAGAGATTAGGCAACTTTAGCATCTCTTTACCATTAAAAGTTGCTAAAGTTTCATAACAACACTTTGTATAAGCTTCCCTCTCCCTTTATTGTCATTTAGGTAATACAAATGAGAAACAATACAGGAAAGCAAATAAAAATCATCACCAATATTCACAGGGCACTATGGAAGATGATATAGAATATTCGAGGGAATCTTCCACAAGCCAACATATACTACAAGGCGTGATTAATAGCAACTTTAAACAATCAAATTAAGGCGATTATATAGTCCTACGGATCATGGTACGCTTACCCTCACACATAAAATATGTTATTAAGGATTATAAATTTAGCGGTTGCGTATAATAACGATATGTATATTTGGTATAAGGCGGTCATAATTCTTTATAATTATTTAATGTGAAATTTGATAGTTTGGATGTTTGATAAAATTTATTTTGACGTTTGAGCGAATAATTGCAGCCACCTAATCTCATATCCAATGATCATGGTTATTGTGACCGCCTCGCATCCAATGCCGACTGTTACAATTATTGTGACGACTATGTATCAAAGGTGTATCAACGGGATGGTGTTAGCGGTGGGAAGAGAAAGGACAAAGGTGGTGACATGGTAACTAGTGTTTGGGGACCTACCACCTTGACCCCCAGCCCCAGCCCCAGCCCCAGCCCCAGCCCCAGCCCATTCCCAAGTTTCATTCTATATTTTCCTATAAATTTGTGCCCTAGTTTTTCTTCGACTTCCCACTAAATTATCCATTTCCGATATTAAAAAATGCTCGTGGTATTCACTCATGGCGGACGTGGCCCCTGAGTGGTCTCCTGAACCCCAGAGTTGCTTCTTCTAACTAGGGAACCTGGGAAATTCTTTTGTGTTTCTCCGGTCTGGCGCTTTGATTCTTTGGTTTATTGCCATGGTTTTATTTCAGTACCAGAAAATTATTTGGAAAATTGAAACAAGTGTTGGAGTTTGTTTTAAGCTGAAAACCTAGATGATCAGGCTTGTGAATTGAAACAGGCCGAGTTATTTTGCTTTTGGGATTAAGAAAGACCATCAGTTTTTCATTGTTTTTTTGTTGTTGTTTGGAATTCTAGATTCGACTGTAGAATTTAGGTTGTCAAGTAGTTGCCTGGCCTGAATTTTACTTGTAGGGACGCTCAAACGTAGAATTTGGAAGAAAGCAAAGGATTTTGGTACATAATTTTGTTTACATAGGGAGAATTGTCATTTTCATCGCTGAAACCCTAGAATTTTGGATTATACCAAATTGGGGTTTACATTGGAATTGAGAACAGCTTTAAAAGGAATGGATTCAGATTGAAGGAGATGAGGTTCATACTGATATCTGGTGATTTTTTGTAGAAATTTTGGGCAAAAGAAGAAAAATTAGAGGTCAGAATGGATCTAGAGCAGATGTTACTGCGTGTTCACGCCTGGTGTTCTACGAAGCTTTCTCAATTGCTTAAGCCGAGGATCAGAGTGGCTTTGGAGTATGTCTTTTTGGTGGTTGCTTTTGCCTTGTTTTGCTTATTGGTTGTGATGCACACCAATTTCGTTGCACAGGTAGGGTGGCCTTAAATACCTTCGAACTCTTATGTATTTTTTTAAAGAAAAATCGTTCTATTAGAAGTTGTCATATGCTTTGATTGTGAATTTTTATTTTATGTATTTATTTGTCTCTTGACAATATTTAGATATTTAATTGTTAATTGTTCAGTAATATGTAGTAACAGTTTTGTTCATTTGAAATACTGGCGTTTTCTTTTAAATTTTAATTTTTTATTTATCCAGTGAGGTGAAAATTTTAATTTTTATTTGTTCATTCGAAATACTGGGATTTTAATTTTGTCCCATTCAGTCAATTACTCATATGCATAAACTATTAGTCATTGAAAATAGGGGTGAATGATGTGAGGTATTTTTTCTTGTGGACTTTTTGTCAAAGCAGAAATACGAAGTTGGTAGTAGACTCTTCTTTACACAGCCTTGTAAGACTCTCTCCGTTGAGCCATTTGCTTGGCGTTATTTCACTTCTTGCGGTTATTTTTACTTTTCTGCTATACGCGCAACTTTATGAATGGAATTCATGGTATTAATGATGGTAAAAACATGGAAAAGAAAAAACTCAGGGGGGAGTTCATCTTTTTTGGACCAATTAATAGAGGATGCCCATAGATATCATATACATAAAAAAGAAAAGAAAAAAAAATGGAAAGAAACAAGAGGCTTTGCATTCTCATTCCACTAAAACATCTGTTTTTGTCAGAATATTGGACCTTGATGCTAAGTTCCGTTCATTATACTTAGCATTACGGAGAAGCTTGCCTAATGTTGTTGTTGTGTGGTTGTCTGCTATCCTGAATTATGCATTCTCTTTTTTCATTTTTTGCTATAGTAGTCTCTCTAGTTTGTTGGGGCTTTTGATCGTTCCTTGTGTGCACCATGTGGCACTGCAAGTATTTCATTATTTTATTCAATACTTCTCTGGAATTACATACAAACTGATCTTTTATATTTGTTTGCATGTGAAGCCGGGTTGTTCTAGTGAATTATCTGGACCTGAAATACTAGAAGCTCATCTCGTCCAAATTAAGGTACATCTTGTGCTGATTATTATTTTTTTCTTCCGTAGATAGATCATGCTTGTGCATGTTATATGGGTGGGCTTGTGGTTGCAGATGGATTAATAATTTATTGTCTCATGAATTGTACTTGCCTATCACCCAGTTGCATATGTATGTCCACATGTTAAAGTTTAGGATGGTTGTTGGTAAAAGGATTAACAGTGAACTCTGATTCATTCCATTCTTTGGGAGTTAACATTTATTGAAGCTTAACATTTATTGAGGCATAAGAAAGGGGTGTATGAGATACATCACATTCATAGGATACAATGAAGGCATGGAGTGCAAACATAGAGTCCATCCCTGTTGGCTCCTTCTATGCGAGAGAGATTGCATCTGCACTGGTTTTTCTATGGATATATTCCGTGGATATCAACCATCTAACTCCTTGAACACGACCACTTGTGTCCACGTGGTGGACATCCATGCAAAGTTAGATGCTTGACAAGCTTCCTTCAATACCCTTCTATAAGGTTCCAGAGCGAGAGTCATGGAAAATTCTAATCTCTTGAAGGAGGTTTTTTAACATTTTTCTCCATGGAATTTTCATAGAGTTGATGTACAAAAGCTCTTTGTATTAAGGAGGTTTTGTACATTTTTCGCCATGGAATTTTCATAGAGTCGATGCCCATTAGTAGTTTAACCATCATATGATTTGTACCATGTGTAGTTAACCAAGTGCTTTGCATAGTTAACTCACTAGACTTCATAGAGAAGGAGGGTGCTCTTTCAACTTGTACTTCTTATTCTACTTTGTTGTGGTATTCAATAATTGCTGTTTTCCTGGTGGGTCTAGATAAACCATTGCAAATGAGCTTTTCCCATGCAATCGTACTCTAGGAGAAGTAAATTGCCATGATCAGAACCAAGATATTGTGTCATGGCAAGTATAGAGCTGGAAATTATGTCGTCAGTGGGATCTCGTAGAGGGCCCTATGCATTTTACTGGTGTAAAATTTATGTAACATGACATTATGAGTGACGTTAGGAGCGTGTATGGAGTTAAAGGAGAACTCTACTTTCTTTGAATGCCATTATGTGGATTGGAGGGGATGTCGGTATCATCTTGAGGTTGAACAATTTGTTTATGCAGAGATCTAGAATCACCTGGAAATATTGTGTATGTAGGATATTTTCATGTCCTAAGAGAAACTAAAGGCATACATGATGAGTTAACTAATATTGGGCTTTGGAGAGATGAGGAGGTTTTCAAGACTTCAGGCTTCCCTAGAGGGTACATTGGCATATTTCTTCTTCATCATCATCATCATCAGAGCTGTATCTCAACTATTTGGGGTTGGCTACACGAACCTGTTCTGCCATTCTGCTCTATCAAGGACCATAACCTCAGTAAGACCATAAGTCCTCATATCTTCTCTCACTATTTTCATCCATGTTCTTTTGGGCTTTTCTCATGTCTTTAGTGCCTTTCACTTGAATCAAATTGCATCTCCTAAACGGTGCTGTATTGGGTTTGTGCTGCACGTGGCCAGCCTACCTAAGTTTCCTTTTTCTTATCTTGTCGCGTATTGGAGCGACCCAAAGTTCCCTAGAATGTATTCATTCTGAATTCTATCATTTCTTGTCTTGCCACTCATCCATTTCAATATTTGCGTCTCAACTAGACTCATCCTATGGGTATGTTGTTTCTTGACCACCCAACATTTTGTCCCATAAAATAAAGTTGGTCTCATAGTTGTCCTATAGAACTTCCCCTTCAGCTTCATTAGTATGTGGCGATTACATAAACTCTGGTTGCATATCTCTACTTCGCCCACCCAGCTCTAATTCTATGTGCGATGTCTTCCTCAATCCCTCTATTTCCTAGATTATTGACTCAGGATATAAAAAATACTCTCTTTTAGGTATTTCTTGGCCATCAATCTTAGCAACTTCTTCGTTTCTACTCCTTTGATTACTGAACTTGCATTCAATATATTCTATCTTAGTCCACCTAATTTTAAAACCATTAGATTCTGTATATTCGCACATTTGTACATCCTTTTTTTTTCCTCTCTCTCTTTTGTGATGTACTACTTTCAATTTCTGCAATTATGTTTACTAATTAAGAAACAAACAGCACGACGATGTTGTATATGGCAAATGTGTGGTGCTGTATGTTTTAACACCAATAGAATTGATTACCACTCTATGCTAGAGAGCTTGCCATGAATAAGTTGATCAGATCAGCTGTTAATGTATACCAAGCACTTTGATCGTCACAGTTTTGTCTCGTCCAAGCATTCTAGGCAGCCATTACGGTCTTCTCTTTTCATGCTGATCTCTTATTGTAGGTGTTGTGCTTCCTATGTATTGTCAACCACATTATTAAATGTAGACCATGTTTTTGTTGAGAATGCCTTTGTTTATTGCGGTAAATCAGTGCGGTAAGAGGTCCCCTGATCAAGTTTTCATTGAAAGATAAAAAGAAATATGGTTATGTGTTTTCCTTAAAATATAAAAAGAAATATGGTTATGTGTTATGAGATTCCCTAAAGGGTTGAGCTATAAAACTGGCAGCTTAACTCTCAAAAACTGTGGCTTTATAAAAAAAAAACTCTAAAAAACTTCGGCTTCATCTGAATGCGTGCCCTTTCTGCCACGCTCATCTGCCATGATTCCTTCTTGGAACACATGCACTATTCTCCAATTTTCAAAATGTTAAGGTCTTGTTTCTTCCATTTCTGTTTTTCATTCTAATACACCAGGGATGGAACTTGCTTCTCGAAATAATTACTACCGATGCTGTTGCTCGCGATTATTTATCTTTTGCGACTAAGTCAAGAGTTGAATCATTTCCCGCAAGCTTTTTCCTTAAATTCGTTGCAGAGCTACGGGGGCCACTGCCCACAAGAAATGCACCTTGTGAATCCAGAAAACCTGTCCATATCCCACTCCTCTAGGGTTACGAAGCACCAAACCATCTATAGTAATCTATATCCAATCCATGGAGAAGAATTAGCTCAGCTGATTTGTTTTTGGGGACAAACCTCAAAGGGTCGAACCCTTGACCTCTTGCTTACTAGCTGGGGGTGCCTACCACTAGGCCAAAGCCCAAGAAATGAGAATGGTTTACATTTGGCTATATTATTATTGGGATTCTTTGTGGCAGATTTCGATGTGATTAACATATTCATGGTTGCTAGCTTGTGATTGGTGGTTTTCCTTTTTTTTTTTTTTCTTTTTTGTGTGTTAAAATGGGACCTGGTAGGAATGGAACTCTAGATGCATGTTTTGGCACCCACCACCTTTACCACCCATGCTTGCAGACCCTTTTTTTTCCCGTAAAGAATGTTGGATATGAGTGGGAAATTTTCGTTTGATGAGCCACCTAGTGATTCACATAGTTTTTCTAGTATTGATAAATAGTATTTTGAATATGCTTTTGTGTTATTTCTGTCAGATATTTGTATTCTTGTATTTTTGCTTGCTGACCTTTTTAATATTTTTGTCTTGATTCTCATTTTTCTCCAGATAACTAGTGCTGGGCTGTGGACACATAAAGCTTTTACTCGTACTGTGATAGATACTCTCAAGCAGGGAGAACTGGCGGATAATATCCAGATCCCTGATGTCCATGGAGGCGGACTTAAGTTTATTACACCGAAATTTTGGTTGAATCAGATTGCTTCAGGTGCTTCGGATGTTTAAACCTTGGATTGTTTTTTTTGTTGTAGCAAAATGTTCCGAAAATGTGTAATATGATCAGAGATAAGTCCAGGAAACCTGAGGAATCTATAACGTAAAAACAAAACCCTGAAAATCTGTGATAGACACCCCTTGTTACAAATGTATCTGAAAATATTGATGACGGGAGATGCTTAAATAAATATCTTCTACATTTCCAAATTATCCTGTTTCTCAACCACCAAGATTTAAGGGGCTCTGAATCCTTTGAAGAAAGTGTTGCATGGATGTAGCATTTGGGAGCTATTTAATTGCGAATCTTCTATTAAGGCTATTACTTATTAGGAAAGAATTCTTCAGACGTTAGTTTTTATGGCCATTCCCCCTTTGATATCCTTTGGCACTAATCGTTATCTTATGTGATGAAAAATTCACCATCTTCATATTTCTAAATTTTTATCATCTGAATTATTTTGAGTATTGGAACCTGGAAGAATTAGCTTTAAACTGAGAACTGAAATTTAAATACAGAAGATTGCAGGATTGAAGGTGCTTCTGGATATTTCAACGTGGTTACATAGGTCAGACCTGGAGAAGATGGATTCCTTTATAGGTATAGTTTTCTTGTATATCATTTGCAATCATTTTTGGGATATTTGTGTGCTGTAGAGCTCAAAAAACTTGTTTCTATTTGAAAAATTAATGTGGCTTACCCTGTTCCATGTGTAGACTTCATTTTTTTTTTCTTGCTCAAATCAATTAATTTCGTGTGTGTGGAACATTGGCTTCTATAGGAAAAATTATCCAACTTCTTGTATTTGGAATTTTCCTTTGTAAAAACAGTTTTCCATTCAGCTGAATTTCTTTTTTCCATTAGCTGAATTTCTTTCTTTGGTGGCAGTGCAATGGCTAGATGAAAGAAGCAAAGCATCTGAGCCCACCTATTTATACACAATGGAGAAGGTGTATTTGCAGCTACCTTTTTATCTATCTTTCTTATAATGTTTCTTTTTTGGAAAGTTATTATACTTTAAGTTTTATTGTTCAGTAAAAGATTATTAGTCAACTCTGTGCCAAAGGTGGTGTCAGACTGAAACATACAAAGCAAAACAAGTAAAAATGGGTGGCCACTAGCATCTAACTTTTTGCAATGTCAACTCATGTTGCTACAGTTTTAATAAAAACTTCTTTGTATACAACTAACTATACATTATGATGCAGGCTTATTTCGAGTATTTAGTTAGGACAATCAGCGTAAAATTTGCAATAAAAGCAAAGAATTTGTGCATTTTCTTGATAAGTTCACGAGGAAAAAAAAAGTTACAACTTAAGAGAACCTTGAAGAATTTTATTAGAAGCTTGATGCCCAGTTCTATCTACTAGCAAAAAGCACCATAGGTGGCATGCAATCTACTAGAATGTTGGATTCTCTAGACATGCAAGTCCCAATTCTCAAGATCTAATGGTTTTCATACACATATATCTAGCCTTACAGAGTGTACCTGCTAGATACACCATATTAAGTTTTTCCTTTACATGTTATACAACCAAAGGAGCACATATATTCAAGCAACACTTGATCTTGTGGGTTGTGGTGAACCTCACTAAGGGGACATTCTTTAGATAGCCTTTGATATGTCAAGCATTATCCAATTCTCTCTCTCTCTCTCTCTCTCTCTCTCTCTCTCTCTCTCTCTCTCTCTCTCTCTCTCTCTCTCTCTCTCTCTCTCTCTACT